CGAAGGGAAAGAGACTGGCTATTCGTGTCTCGAAGTATTCAATGAGAACCGCACCTTTCCCTAGAGAACCCATTTCTCCTTTCCTTTTTGCATGGATGTTCGCCCCCTTCGAGGTGTAGTATCACATGTTTTATGCTATCGATATTGATCGCGTCGATTCATGTCCAGTTGACGATCAACAAACATTGACAGCACGTTCACACCGTAATTATGATCAGACTTTCTTCGAGTCCGTAATGTGAACATTTCTTTCTTCAAATCCCATCTCTAGGGTATTCCTTGATCTTTTATTCGATTTTTGATTGACATCCTACCGTCGATCTATCAGTTTGTTAATAAGGAAAAGTTTTTGATCACGAATCTCTCATTGACGTGTCCGTCATTTCTTTTAAGAAATGATAAGGCTACCGATTTATGATGAATAAAAAAAAAATCTTACATTACATACACATACGCACGCAACATTATTTTATATCTACGTAAATTTTGAATTAATGAGATTAACTAGAAGTAAAATATGACCTTATTTTAAGATTTATTTCTTTAAATGAAATTCGAATATTTATTAGTATATAGAATAATATAATTTTTTAATTTAATTGATTTCATAACATTTTTGTATTTATTAGAGCTTTAAAAGCTGGCGTGAAATGTCCTTTATTGGCACTACTACCGGATGACCGTTTTGAGAATGTTGAACTAGTCACGCTTCTTGGTGCTCTGGAGGCTCTCTACGTGGTGAGTTTCATTCCAACAAATTAGTCATCGTAATATTAATGCGTTGCAATAATGTTATGACAAGTAGATCATATCAGATTTTAAAGTCTTCTTATTATATAGAAGACGTAATAGAATATTAGATGATTTCAAATATTTTAAATAAAATAAAATTTCTAATCTTATACATGGGAAAAAATATAGCAGAATCGATAAATAATATCATTAATATCATATCGGACGAAGACGTCTTCTTTGCATGAAAACATTTCAAAAGGAAGTTTCAATTTATTGAAAATTATCTCATTTAATTCGGTTAAAAATAGCAACCGCAGATTTTCTATGCAAAGATTTTGCTAAATATGGAAACGATGAAATCGATCGGCGTATCGCTCAGAAAATAGATTTGAAAATGAGAAGTCGGAAAAAAATCACACGGTTGAAATTGAGAAAATCGAATGTTACTCGATTGTGCCAATATATATCCGGTTAAGGCATTTTGTAGATAGTTGGTACAGTTGTGGTTATACGAGAACCGTTTAAACCAATCAAACAGATACAACACAGCTTTGTGCGCACCTACATCGGCAAAATAGGAAAGCTTGTAGCTGTATCTGAAAGGAATTCATCTCCGTGTTTCAGCCGAGTTTGGTGCACTGCGGTCTGATTGGCTGCCCCAAGTTGCTCACCATACTCTAACTCTAGTAAATCCGTCTACCTCACCTCTAAACTAAATTGCTACTGTGATCTTAATCCATAACTAATGACTACGCGGACCGCGTGACGCAATTCAATTAATCCGCGATATTTTACGGAAACGGAATTAATTCCGCTTCATCAGTGTCCGATCCATTCCAATAAGACTTGCAAACGGCCACGATCACGGATAATTACCATAAACCTTCGCCCGAAATTCATTATTCATTATTTAACAGTTATGAGAAGCTAGGATAAGCGGGTAATTTGCAAACGTTCGCATTTCACAGCGATTGATGCGAGTATCATAATCTCTGCGTTAAACGCAGGCTGATATTAGAATCAATTGGCAAAGCGCTTGATATAGTTTCGACGGTATAAAAACGGTCGGCCGAAAAAGTAAGACCATGGACATTTCGATAAACAAACTCGTTTCGACGTGTCTTGAATAAACAATGGCGATATCGATGAGAGATATCGACAAGCAAAGAGCGCGGTCGACACGATCATCAAACAACACCTGCCATCAACAGACGCTTGATCGATAAGTGTGCAGCGTGTCTTACGGAGGAGGATATCGGGTTGCACAACTCGATTGTGAGCTCCATTGTTCATTAACCTCAGCGCCGCCGCGGTTAATTACGGTCGGACGATAGTATCCGCGTTATTATGCGAACTTCGAAGTCGGAAGTTATCCGGCACGAGTATACGCCGTACGATCGATTTGCGAATCCTATAGTAATCGCTTTACCAGACGCGTGAGCCGCGCGGCTCAACTACAATTAGTCACGTATGTCATTCGATAATAAGATGTAATTCATTGTTTCATTGGATATAGCCGTTAAGGAAGAATTTCCCGGAGTAAATGTTGCGAATGTTGTGTTTCAAATATTTATTACTCGAGAAATGTCGCTGTAGCGTGACAGTAGGAATAGTGATTAATAATCAATCAACAAATTTTGTAATGAAAAAGAGAAAGATTTTTTGACTACCTGACCGCAAACATTAAAACTGTCCTTTAGTACTATAAAGAAGAAGCGATATCTTAAAGATAAGAAATAGCACTTTGTTGGTATAAATTTTGACGCATCTGAGTTACTTTTTCGTTAAATTACAATATTTAATAGGGCACGAACGTTAACGTAATATTGATCTATTCATCACAAAATAGAGGAGCGGTTGTTAAAATAAAGGTAAGATACCCGTTTTTTATCGAGGATTAAAGACAAAGAAGGTGATAATTTTAAGTCGATAAAGTAAAGATAATTGAAACGAAAGACTCTATGCTTGTGATCAGCGTAGATTATACGCTAGGCGGGACAAGCGATTGCTCTTGGAGAAAGACTTTGTATCATGAACAATCTTTAAAGCTATGCTGAAGTGAACTTTACTTACTGTACAGAGTATAAAAAAGATTCTAGACTTGAAGAGCAGATAGTATGTACCTCTCAAATTTAGTAAAAAATATCTAATCTATCATAGTGAAAAATAATTTTTTATCAAAAATAAATGAGATAACTCGCTTATTTATTACATCTTTTGTTACGTAAATCAATTTTTCTTATCTCGCACGTACATTCCGCATACAGCATTGCTAATGTTAATGACACAACTATCACAATTATGACTAATAGCGATTTAATTTAATACCACTTCCATCTTGAAAATCATTTCGTTAGTGTCACGTTAGTTCATCTTTAAATTGAATTGAAATAATTTTTTTGTGGACCAACGCGCGAAAAATATCCGAGTGGACATTCTCGCAACTCGTTCCACATACAACATAACGGGCATTCTTGTCCCGTAAGTTCAAGGACCAAAATTCTAAGTTCGAACCACCGAGGGAAGAGCAGTCGATCGAGGCTTGTTTGTGGGCGGCAACGGGATGTAGCGAGGGGTTAGGAGGACGCAGGGAGTAAGCCGAGTGCTCTGCCCTATCAAGGAGTAGCAAATGCTTGGCGTTCCTGAATCCTGGCGGCCGGCGAGGCGACCTAATTAGCGAAATACTCGGGCCTTTCCTCGTCTCTCGTCGCCTCGCCAACCGCTCAGCCCGCGGCAGCGAAGCGCCGTTGTCGGCACCAAGCTCATACGCTTCTTTCTTGATAGTTCCCTCTTCTGACCCTCTTTCCTCTCCCGCAACTCGCTCGTTCCTTCCATCCGACGCAAATATGGGGCATCGTTTTCCAAATACCAGGAGGCGTCCTCGGAATTTCCGCACCGCGTAATCGGAACACCGCGCCATCGCGCGCCTCATGTCGGTCTCTTTCTCGCTTTTAGCACTTTTCCGACTTTTTCAATTCTTTCCACTCGCTCGCGAGCTATATGAACGCGCATCAGTGACAACGCAAAAGGTCGCCTGTGATAAAACAAAAAGATCTGACACGGGCCGCGCACGTGTCAGATCTTTTTGTTGAAAAAAAATTCAGAGTATATATATATATATATATATGTGTGTGTGGTGGGTAGGGTGGTGTGTGTAGTGTGTGTGTGTGTGTGTGTGTGTGTAATCGTAAAACAATATTCTAATATATATTCAATTTTTTAATGTAAAATTATAAAATTAGTTCTTGAATTTAGTTGAAATTTATGCGTAAATTAGCAATGGAATAATTAAATACATGAATACATATTTAAAAATAGTTAGAAAAAAAAAAAAATATTATATGCATTGGAACGCTGAGATTTTTAAAAGTCCATAAGAGTTATAAGCTCAGCTTCATTATCTATGAAGTATTCATCTGATAAGAAGATTATCATACTTAACGTTTCCTGAAGTCGAATAAACTCTTCTTTCTTCATTAGCAAAAAAAAAAAAAAAAAAAAGAGTAACGAATGGTATATGATGTGCATAATAGATTTTAAAGTTAAGTAGTATTGTAACATAGTATTGTTGCATGTATGTGGCAAGAGGTAAAAGAGGTAAAATTTCTCCGATTGTGCGACGTTTGCTATATTTTATTATATCTTAACGATTCATCATCTTCACCCGGCAATTTTATATTTCCACAGCCCCTGGAGGTGCGTGAGATATGTCCGGATCGATCCTACAAAGCGTGTCAACTCGGAGTGTGGAGTCCGATTTGCAGTAAGAAGCTTCAGGGTATCGTGAAACTCGCCTCAGCGCTCGAGAGTGGCAGATACGTCGCAAGGGACATAGGTAAGTCTCGTTCTCGTCCTCGGATACACAACATGGTTCGTAGTACTTTATCGAGAGTGAGTAAAGCAGGTTTTCCTATCCGCACACGAGAGTAGAGGAGCTTGGACTTTCGCCGCTTGGACTACTTTCCGCTTTTCGTAGAAGAAATAAGCTCTCCGGTGCGGAGAATCACTCGCGGCTTCTTACTTGTTCGAGAAAGGTCTTTTGGCTCCCGATTAATCGCGCACAACTCGTCGCTCTTCGCGTTCCGGTGTTCAAGTTCAGTTCGGAATAGCTCTTGGGAATTATTGAGTTTAAAGTTTAAACGGCGATTTGGATAGTTTAAGTGTTCATTTTTAATGTTACGCTTTGCGCGAACAATGGAAAGGAAAGTATAGAGCTTATTCCCTGTGGCAGTTAATAACAATTGGTGTTTCCGCAATATTTGCAGAAAGCATTTTCGAGATTTATTCTTTATCGTAGCATTTATGCTTTATCAAGTATATATGGCTTTTATACACAAGCTTTCATTCCCGCCCATGCTCTGGATATAGAAGTGTATTATTCGCTTGTGAGCTTGTAAAGCAAAAAACGAGAAAAGTGGATAATGCAATTTCGTAAAGTAAACTCTGATGACCTGGCTATTGCCCGCAGGCTCAGTCGAGTCGGAATCATTCGCACGTATCAGAGTGAAGAATACATAATAAGGGAGACGAGAATTTTTCAACGTTACGAATTAAAATAAATCGGAAAAACATTTATTAATTTTTCACATTTATACTGTATTTTTTATACAACTTATTACGAGCTATATTTATTTCAATTAATATTACAATATATATTGTAATATATTGAAATTTATTAGATATTAATTGCAATATCAACAGCAGTATTTTTCTGCATATTCAATATTTATTTATTATACTTCTCGAGCAAATAATAACAAAATGCAACTAATTAAATAACAATCATGTACCGAGCTTGTCATGCGGTAAAAATAATTGCTGATGAAAAATATTGTAATTATTATTAAAATAAAAACAACAATCATAAAGAAGCACATTTTTATCTTTCAAATAAATTCTGTAAAATAATAAAGTTTAATCACAAACCGGAAACATAAATAAGGATATCTTATATCCAATTATTATTTTTACAAAAAAATCAAATTTTCCGTGTATTTATTCAATGTACATCCATTCGTGTGCTATTAATGGCCAGCGTTGCTTTCACTCTGTTAAAATTAGGAGGCGCGGATCCTGAAAGAATGGCGCCCCCGAGAGTGGAAGAGTACCTGGCAGAGCTGTTTTGCGGATCGAATGTCACGATGCAAGTGATATCTGATCAGGATACGCTACTTCAGGAATACCCGCTGTTTGCCTGCGTAAATCGCGCCGCCTCGGTAATACCGCGTCATGCCGGTAGGATTATATTTTTGACCTACGAGCCTGCCTGCGTCTTGGAGACGATCATGCTTGTGGGGAAGGGTGTCACTTACGATACCGGTGGCACCGACATCAAGTGCCAGGGCATCATGGCTGGCATGTCGAGGGATAAATGCGGCGCGGCCGCCTGTGCCGGATTCATGCAGGTGCCCTGTAATATATCGTCATACGCGACATTATATGTCATGCCGAAACGATCGCGCGTTTCACCTTGCTTCTATTAATAATGCCATTTAAATAACCTTCCTTCTCAGCTATATACGCGAACCGTTGGATTCTTGAAATGATCAGCGTATATCGAACTTTAATTGTGCTCGATGCGCGCGTTCTCTCTGTCTCATATATCGCATATTACTATTTTTTTTATGCACTTTTTTTATGCATGATATATCGATATTATGATTGAACAAACAATACTCGTTGCTGCGACATCAAGAATCAAGAATTAAAAGTCATCATTTTTAACCAATTTATTTTATCGAAATTGAAAAATTTAAATTAAACAAAGTAATGTAAAAAAAAAATGTAAAAAAAATTTGATTGTAAAATTGCAAATAATTTTATGTACATATTGAGATAAGATCTATTATATTGAATGTCATAGGTGGTGAATTTATTGCAACCACCGACGGTAAAAGTCGTCGCCGCTTTGTGCGTTGTGAGAAATAGTGTAGGCGAGAACTCTTACGTCGCCGATGAGGTGATCACGGCAAAATCCGGTGCGAGGGTGCGCGTAGGCAACACGGACGCCGAGGGTAGGATGGCTATGGCCGATGTTCTCTATCATCTCAAAGAAATGGCTCTCTGTTCCGTGAATCCGCATCTCTTTACCATAGCTACGTTAACGGGCCACGCAATGTTAACTGCAGGCTTAGGATATTCTGTAAGTATTGTAAAATCGCATTTGCTCGTTATGCTTTTAACCGCATTTTAGCGAACATTAAGTATAATAACACGTGCAGCTGCTCGAATTTCTATTATTCGGGATAACGATATAGCGTATCTTGGAATAATGTAGAGAGCGTATAATCCCGTTGTGTGCCGTCGTCATGCGCGCATATATACAATAACGCAACTAGACATTAAAATTTAGTGAAAGTGAAGGAGATGTATAGCAGACAGCTATATACTTGTTGATTTATTGACGAAAATATAATTGGACAGAGTTATAAATGATCTAGGTGCAGCGCGCAGTTCTTCCCGTATCTAGCATTATATTGAATTCCGAGCGTGACGTGTGATATAACTTTGTTATCAAAATTGCTTGTGTATGTTAACTATCATTTATTTCTCTGGTTATTTTCCCGATAAAAGACGTTCTGTCACTTATCCAGATTTTCAAAAATTCAAGACTTATGTTTATATGCATCGCTATAGATTGCAATGGATAATGCTGTGGCACGACTAACTAGTAATGCGGAAAAGCTTCAAGCTTCCGGCGAAACTATTGGCGATCCATTTGAAATATCGCGAATACGTAGGGAAGACTTCCTCACCCATCAAGGACGCGCAGAAGGTGATGATATTTTGCAAGCACTGAATCAACCTAGCTCTAAAACTCCACGAGGTCATCAAGGACCAGCCGCCTTTCTAATTAAGGCTTCTGGATTGGACAAGGTGTTATATGCTTGCCACTATTATTATTATTATTATTAATATTATTACTATTATTTGAATTTAAAATACTTCCAGATATAATAATGCTTAATAACTTATGACTTTTAGCATGGTATTGAATCAGAGAAACCTCTCAAATATTCTCATCTGGATATAGCTGGCAGTGCCGGTGAACTTCCAGCACAAGCAACCGGTTCGCCGATTTTAGCATTAACCAAAGCGTTTCTTTTTGACAAAATAAAGATCACAGATCCGTGACATTAAAACAACTATCAATAATATTTTATATATATATATATATATACATATATATATTGTTTTTATATTTAAAATAATTAACATTCATAACTTGTGACAAAAAAAATATTAACTGAAAGTTGACAAAAAATAATTAATCATCTTCCTAAATCAGTAATCCTCAGAGTTTCCATAATCCTTATAACACGAATTTACTTGGAACAGAAACGATTACATTAGGACATTTTATCATTATATACGGTATCGGATTTGCCAATAGACACATTAAAGTAGTAGAATTTAAGAGTAATAGATTTCTAAAAGATGTTTTTTTCTTATATTTTATATATGTAAAATTTATTTTATTATGCTAGATTTTAGCGGAATAAAATAAAACCTATTATTTTTATTTATCAACCTTCCTTCTACGTAATTTAAAACATTTTTGTCATAATGTTAAATATATGATTATAACAGTATTAATTATTTAAAATAACTAAATCTGATTACAGCAGTCAAAATTTTTTTCAAATTATTAAATGTAAAATATTACATCGTCATAAATTGCGATAAATTATTTATAGATATTTTTAAATTCTTAAAATTTTATTATTTTGCTGCACTAACTCTGTTCAATCAAAATCATTCATTACTCACTTCACTATCCCCAATAAAATACAATGAACTTTTTATGAATAATTGGTTTAATACAAGCATCAGACATTAATAGTGGATTTAAAAAAAGCTTTTCCGTTACAATAACATTTAAAGACTAATTTATTCACTTTCTCTTTCTCTGCCTGACCGATTTCGTATCGATTACAGCACGGAGTTTGTAGTTGTACTCCCCTAAAGTACACACACATCGATTTATATGGACATCTACCACAACCTCAGTGCATCCCGTACTGTGGCAATCCCGTCTTAGCTATGTCCTATTGCTATTTGATCCAAGGAAAATGTCTGACACTGCGAAGTGATCTTCCTTACGAAATGCAATACGTTTGCGAATTCGATTGCAAACCCGTCTGTATAACGCCCTGCCCACCCAAAGTTTCCTGTGATTCCCATGGAACGTCTTGTCCACCGATCGCCATATGCCCTACTTATTTGAATACGAAATCTTGTGAACGACGTCAAGCGCTATCCTATCCACCTGCCCAAGCTGCATCGCTGTGTCAATCCTGTCCACTTAATTCAGAAACGATGTACCAGGGAGCAATGTGTCAACCAAATGTCCAAAGAAACGAATTGAACCCGCGCGCCTGACAATACGTCAAGTTACGAGATATTTATGTGATATGAAGATTTACGAGGACCATTCCTGTATGGCGAGTCGTTAATCTCGTCATCGATCTTAAGTCGGTTTTTACTATCGTTTTATTCAATTTATTTTTCATAGTTCTATGTTTATTTGACTAATGTATATATTTTTGAAAATAAAAAATATATTACATATAGAAGTTGCTTTCTTCTCTTTTTTGAAGATATATTGTCTAACTGGAGAAAATATAAAAGCGACTTAAAAAATATATTGCAATTATATTAATAGACAGGCAAACAACAAGCAAATACCTGATACCTACAGTTGGTAAGTTCTAACATCAGATATCTGGTATATCTTAAGTCAGTAATGTATCTTCACTTGATACTTGATTTCTTTCTATTATCAAAAGATGGTTAAAGAAGGTTATGGTTTTAAAAGAAGAAATATATATCTATTACTAGCAATAAGTATATGAATTAATTTAATTTTTATACCAATTTCTTTAAAAATAAAATATATTAATTCTTACATAATATAGTATTTTAGTCATGGCGTTTAGAGCTACATAATTATTAGTAATTGATCTTTGTATCTATTTTTGTATCTTAGAGTAATTTTACTTAATAACAATGCGCAGGCAATTAAAAACAACCATGCCTAGTCTTTAAATTTTGATTTTATTATCAACTATTTGGAAATTATTTGATGATATGACTGTATCACTTGATGACAACATATTGCAAAATCAGTATCAATTAAATAATTTGTTTTATAGTCTATAACTTATAATATTTTAAATAAATATTTTAAATTTACATTAAGTAACCATATAGCTATGAAAATGTTATCAAATATTAATGTAAAAAATTTCAATAAATAGATCAAAGTCATGTGTAATTTTAGCATTCTATTAATGAAGCAGTCTATTAATAAATAAAGCGGTATTCGACAATCCCTGAGTAAACTTGACTTGAGCAAAAGAATACCATGGAAGGCACGCTTAATTACTACTACGTCCTTTCTTAATTAAGAGAAAATGTTTGGCATATCTCGTAGAGATTACTGCGAGCGAAGCAAACTTCCGTTTGTGTTACCATCTCGCGCTTGCTTTCTCACGATCGAAAGCCTGATCCAAAACTAATTCTGGAATTTTTTGCAACAATGTTAACGTTACATACAAAACGAATAGATCGATAGAATACGAATATTCATACAATTTTCATTAGATTATCGATACAAGTTTCCTCAAGTATTTCATCTATATAGTGACATAAAGAAATTTTGTAATAAGTAAACTCTTACAGTAACATTTAAATTTTTGAAGTTAAAGGCTTGAAAAAAGAAATTGTCATTAATTTTTAATTTATACAAACACTATATATGTCACTAATATGTAGTGTCAATCTCAATTTATACTGTTAATAAAAAATGTTGTTTTAAAGCGTAATTAAGAAAATATAAACTTTGTTATTGCATAACATAGTTATTTATATTTTATGCCATTAATCTTAAATATCACTCATTTTTCATGTATACTCGAAACATGAATATTCATGCAAGATCAATATGAAAACGCGTCGGCGAGGTAGAGAATAGGCGGAAGGATGAGAATAGATAGGGAAAGAACGGCAAAGGAATAGTACACAATTTGCAGGCAGTAGCATAGTGACAGGCCAGTATAGGAGGAGGTAGTATTCATCAACGCGGTGATACATGTAAGTTGACATTGTTTGAAGAACTTGAAGGCAGCGCGAGTCGCCGGTTTTGCAAGGAGCGCGACGCGGAGGTTTGCAAGGAGGTAACATATCGGACGAGAGGGACGAAGGGCGTAGAGGGGTTGAGGAAGAGAGTGAGAGAGGAGGGGGCGGTAGGGGGCA